AAATGCGCGGGAGATATAGAGAGAGAGAGAGAGAGAAAGAGAGAGAGAGAGAGAGAGAGAGAGAGAGAGAGAGAGAGAGAGAGAGAGAGAGAGAGAGAAAGAGCGAGAGAGTGAGAGAGGGAGATTGAGAGAGAGGGGGAGAGAGACAGATAGGGGGGGGGGGGAGCACTCCAACTACATTAATACTAATTGTTGCTGGGTACTCACAGCGACAGCGTCATGCTTTATCGCGAAAACTCGCGAGAACACCACGGCAGCGATAATGGCTCGGAAGCAGGTGAGAGAACCAATGCGGTCTCATATCTGTGAATAGGGCCAGGACACGCAAATGTATGCGAGGTTTCATAGCGCAGAAATGTGGCGGAAAGCAGTGGTATACGGGCGTGCGTACGTGCGGCGTGCGTGCTTGCTTGTGTGTGCTTGTGTGCGTGCGCGCGTGTGTGCAGCAGTGAGTGTGTTCGTCTGCATGCGTTTGTACATTGAAACATGGAAATTATTCTAGGTAGCGACTTTGGGATTGACCTTCCATAACCACGTCATCGGATCTTACGGCCAAAGCCTTACGAACGAATCTTGATCTCGTACTTAAACTTATGCAAAGGAAAGATTATATTATGTTATTTGTTTGAATGTATGCTGTACCGGATAATTTCATGCGTGTAACTCGTCGCAACCTTTCTGATTATTAAAATTGGCGAGCGAAAGTTTCCGCTACCGCAAACGGTTATTTCATTGCTCTGACATTTATCTGTGCGGCGTATCATAGGACAGTCGACCAGAAATAAAAAGAGAAGGGCGATTCTCAAAGTTAATAGCCAGAGATGAAAATTTGAGAGAGTAAAAATTAATAAGCCGATAGTTCTAAAAATAGCGCCCATCGGGTTTTCTTTATTTTTTAATATGGCGCCCGCTGACCTTTTATTTACTATATATGGCACCCGCAGCGCCAATGAGCCCGAATAATTATTAGAGCTGTTGGAATTGTTTAGATGTCGCTGTTTTCCTAATCTATTTTACTTTCGTCCCCGTGTCTGAAAATTTTTTCCTGCCGGTGGCCTAAATCGAAAAAAAACAATTTTTGACTTCTTAACGCTCGGGTCTCACTCGCCTTAAAATACTTCTCGTCGTTCTCTATTATTTTCGCTGTTTTCAGTTTCTTCAGATTTCCGCTTTTGTCTTTCCCCTTTCTTTCTCTCTTGCTCTCTTTAATGATCTTATATCTTCTCTTTGTATTTCTATTTTTCTCCGTCTCTCTTTCTTTTTTCTCTCGGTGTCTTCCTTTTTGTTTTCGTTCATCTTTCTTTTCTTTTTTCTCGTTTTACTTCTCTTTTACTCCCCTGGATCATTTCTTCTCCTTTGCCCCTTTCTTATTTCTTCTCCTTTGCTTTTCCTCCCTCATTTTGTTTTGTTTGCTGTCCCCCTCTTTGACCCGCCTTCCCTCTTTCTCTCGCTCTCTTTTGTCTCCTTCAATCTTTGACCTATGCGGAGGCTTTTGCTTTTACAAAAGCACTTTTTTCGGAAGACACGCCCCAATTCTTTCGTCCTGTTAGGTAATGACGCAGAAGTTCGATCGCTCCCTTGCGCGCTCTCTCTCCTCCTCTTTCTTCTCTCTCTCTCTCTCTCTCGCTCTCTCTCTGTCTCTCTCTCTCTCTCGCTCTCTCTGTCTCTCTCTTCCTCATCCCACTCTCTCTTTCTCCCATTCTCTCTCTGTCTCTCGCTCTCTTCCCTTCTACCGCTGCTCCTTTCTCTCGCGACATTGTTACCGATGGCTCATCTAACGGTCAGATGGCGCGACAGTCGCTCTCGGCTGCGCGTACAAGATTAAAAGCCGATGTAGAGTGCTCCTGCGGCCTCCTGCCCTCCGTCTGCGGTTAGGCGCATGCGCTCACCATAGCCACGTCTACCGCCCCGTTGACTCTAGCTCTGCTGCCTGTAGGCCTACGCGATTCTCCGCTGCCGCCGCCGCCGCCGCCGCCGCCGCGAAATTTGACGTCCGCACAAAAGACTACATCAGCGGAGGACGCGAGCGTGGAATAATGCTCAGTTGTCATGGAAACTGTTTTGATGCGCGCGTCATCGGCGTCGTCGTCGATGTCGACGTTCGGCGGCGTTTCGCTTCAGATGTCGTTACTGGAGACGCCGTTTCGGCGGGACTCTTCTAACATATAATTATGTAGTCTATGCATAACTATATAGTCAGTATTGTAGTATAAATGTTTTCCTCGTTTTCGCTCCCGCTTTTCCCCCTTTTTTTCTCGGGCATGCTTTTCCTCTCTCGCGCACTCTCTCTATCTCTCTCTTTCCCTCTCTCACACGCGCTCTCTCTCCCACGCTCTTTCTCTCTCTCTCTCTCTCTCTCTCTCTCTTGCGCGCAGTGTCTAGCTTCAACGTCTTCATACGCAGCTTCTCTCCATCCTTTCCTCTAACTTTCTCGTTCCCCCGTCTCTCAAACGCGCAGCTCTGTCTCGCACACGCCGCGCGCTCTCATCTCGTCTCTCTCCTCTCTCTCTCCTCGTCTCTCTCTCAGTCTCTCTGCTCAATCGCACTCTCTTATAACAAGCTCTCACTTAATTAACAATAACTATTAAATCATCACGCCTCACCTCGTTCTCTGCTCTATTCTCTCCTCCTCTCTCTCTCTCTCTCTCTTATTCTCTCGCTCTTTCTCTTTCTCTCTCTCGGCAACAACTTTGTCGCCTCAGTTTCCGTTTCAGCCGGATGAGCTTTCAGGGGATGACCTTGTTAGCAAAACCTTAAGCTAGATAGAGGGAGAGCGTGTGTGCCTATGTGTGTGCGTGTGTATACGTATGTGTGTCCGTGTGTGTGCGTGAGAGAGAGAGAGAAGGCACGAATACACAGAGGCCCCTATTGTCTTCTTCTCGTGTTTATTTTCCCGGACGAGATAGTTTCGTCTAGTACGGCACGGCGGTGTAAACAGCACATGTGTGCGTGCGGCTACTCCTCCTCCTCTCTCCCCGGCCGACGTTTCGCTTGTAGGTCACGTCCTCGGCCTTCTGAACACAACGGGGTTCGCGGCTTCTCTCGGGTTCTGCACTCACAGACCTGCGTTCATCGCTGGCTTAATGGGCGGTGGGTGTGTCGTGTAGTAATTGGAGGCTGTGGTAACTTAATGCCTGACTATCGGTGCTATTATTAATCCAGTCAAGAGCGTATTTATCATAAGACGCTCTTGATACAGTGGTAGAGATAAGAAGGTTTGAGGGTGGTAATACGAGGCCTGAGCCCCGTTGTCAGAAATAAAATTAGTCTTAACATGAGCCTTAACTTTGTGATGTTTCTGACAACGCTCTCTCATGACTAATTTGACCAATTTGGTGAGAGACGGGGTTGTAATAAAGTAAGACAATCGGTATTACGTCATCGCAAATAATACTAGAAATTTCTTATACGGAACAAAAACATGATGGGCGGATTCTTTATGTGACGCCATAGTTAAGCCACGCCCATTTCATGGTCGAAGAGAGGTTAACTGAGATGGTCACATCTTAAATTGCTTAAAACGTCAACGAAGCAATTTTTTGCTTGAAAAACACTTGTCGCTAGGTAATATCGTAGTGTGTTAGCGATCGTTATCGTACAATTCGGTGAAAATTATAGCTTTTCCTGACATGGCGGCGGTAATAGCGCAGCCGAGACGGCGATGACGTAATCGGCCTGACGCCGCTAATGGATAATTCTGGCCAGCGCTCTGGCGCATCAGTGAAGCGACTCCTGCAACCGTCAGCGGAGAGAAAGGCTTGGTTTCAGTTGAGTGGCCATCACTTATTCATCGTTTAGCTTTACTTATTCATTGTTCACCTTCATTTATTCATCGTTTAACTTTATTATTCATCGGTTATTTTCACTTATTCATTGTTTGTCGACACCTATTCATTGTTTAGCTTCACTCAATCAGCTCAGCATAAAGCTGCGAGATGGGTTTCCAAAAACTATCATGATACGTAGTGTTGATGTTGTTTTGGCTCGTCTTGATTGGCCTCCTCTTCGTGTCCGCTTTCTCCATGCTAAACTTATAACTTTCCGTAAAATTTATCATGGTCAGGTGAATATTAGCATTCCTTCTTGCTTAATGAAGCCTGTTCAATGCATTCGATCATCTGAGCGTGATTATTGTTTTTGGCATGTGCCATCGTCTAAGGATCCTTTTCAGTTTAGCTTCTTTGTTTCTGTCATTCCGTATTGGAATTCTCATCATTAATCTTTGGTAAATTGCAAATTTGCAACTTTTTCCACTGCAATCCGCAGTGTTGATCTATCGATTTGATCCACTTCTCTCTCCGTCTTCGTTATAGTCCCAAGGACCTTTGAAGGCTAATATTTATATGTTTATAATGCGGTATGAGGGTTATATTCCCCTTATTCATTGTTTAGTTTCACTTATTCATTGTTCAGCTTCACTTAATCATCGTTAAGATCCAGTAAGTAATCGTGCATCTACGGTCATTCAGCGCGTAGCTTCGGTTAATCATTGTATAGCAGCAGTTACTCATTGAATGTAACTGCGCTCTCTCGTGTGCTTAATGCTGATTTATGTTCACTCGTGTGCTTAATGCTGATCTATGTTCACTCGTGTGCTTAATGCTGATCTATGTTCACTCGTGTGCTTAATGCTGATCTATGTTCACTCGTGTGCTTAATGCTGATCTATGTTCACTCGTGTGCTTAATGCTGATCTATGTTCACTCGTGTGCTTAATACTGATCTATGTTCACTACTGTGCCCAATGCTGGTCTGTGCTTCCGTGTGCTTAATGCTGGTCTATAGTCCCGCGTGCCCAATGCTGGTCTATGCTCCCGTGTGCTTAATGCTGGTCTATGCTCCCGCGTGCTTAATGCTGGTCTATGCTCCCGCGTGCTTAATGCTGGTCTATGCTCCCGCGTGTCCAATGCTGGTCTATGCTCCCGTGTGCTTAATGCTGGTCTATGCTCCCGTGTGCTTAATGCTGGTCTATGCTCCCGCGTGTCCAATGCTGGTCTATGCTCCCGTGTGCTTAATGCTGGTCTATGCTCCCGCGTGCCCAATGCTGGTCTGTGCTCCCGCGTGTCCAATGCTGGTCTGTGCTCCCGCGTGCCCAATGCTGGTCTGTGCTCCCGCGTGCCCAATGCTGGTCTGTGCTCCCGTGTGCTTAATGCTGGTCTATGCTCCCGCGTGTCCAATGCTGGTCTATGCTCCCGTGTGCTTAATGCTGGTCTATGCTCCCGTGTGCTTAATGCTGGACTATGCTACCGTGTGCTCGCTGGGGGAGGTTGTAGATTGATTGAACCGCGGGTTTTAATTACACGGCAAACGTGTGTCAGTGTTTTTACACTCTTTCCTCCCCCTACATACTCACTCAGGGTCTCGCTGCCTCGCCGTCTCTCTCCTCATTTCCTTTCGCCTACCCACCCTGCTTTCTACCGCTAATCGTCTTTTCCTCTTATTTTTTCTCTACCTTAGTCTCTCCCCTTGTCTCCTATCTATCGCCCTCTTTTACTCGCCCTCTCTTGATCCCCCCCGTATCGCTTCCTTTCGCTGCATCCTTTACCAACCCTGTTACTCTCCCTTCATCGCCGCTCTCCGCTCTCCCTCGCCTCTCCCTCGCCTCTCCCTCGCCTCTCCCTCGCCTCTCCCTCGCCTCTCCCTCGCCATTTCCATTTGTTCCGCCTCACCCGCCATGAATAGTATTCTATGCTCGGAGCTGTTGAAACGCTCGATCTGCTCTCTGCACGCACATCTCCAGTCATGCAGGCATTCCCTGCTAACTGGATCATCGCGTATCGAGCGAATGCATGCCATCATTGCTGCCACCTACTACTACCTGCTGCTGCTGTTGTTGCTTCTGCTGCCACCGCCCCGCCGCCGCCGCCGCTGCTGCTGCTTCTGCTGCTGTTGTTGCTGCTGCCACCGCCCCACCCCGGCCGCTGCCGCCGCCGCCGCTGCTGCTGCTGTTGTTGTTGCTGCTGCTGTCACCGTCTCCAGCTGCCGCCATCGCCGCCGCCGCTGTCGCCGCCGCTGCTGCTGCTGTTGTTGTTGGGGGCAGTGTCGGTGTTGCTGCTGCTGCTGCTGCTGCCACTGCTACTACTGCTGCTGCTGCTGCCACTGCTACTACTGCTGCTGCTGCTGCCACTGCTGCCACTGCTACTACTGCTGCTGCTGCTACTACTGCTGCTGCTGCTGCGGGTGGTGGTGGTGCTACTGCTGTTACAGTTGCTGCTACTATTGTTGCTGTTTCTGCTGCTGTTGTTGTTGTTGCTGATACTACTGCTGTTGTTGTTTCTGCTACTGCTGCTGTTGTTGCTGTTACTTCAGCTGTTGATACTGCTTCTGCTATTACGATTACTAATCTTGTTGTTGTTGTTGTTGTTGTTGTATCGCTCTCGCACTGTCTCTTTCTCTTCTTCTTTCTCCCCCTCTCTCGCTCTCTCTAATTCTTTCTCTTTCTCTCTTCTATCTATCTATCTATCTATCTCTCGCGCGCGCGCTTTCTCTTTGCCCCTCTCTCTCTGTCTCTCTCTTTCTATCTAAAATCCCCTCTGCGTTTCCGCCCTTGCCAGTCAAATGTTCCGCATCATCATCATCCTCATCACCACCTCCGCCATCAATCATTACTGTCATACATGCGCATGCGCACGCGGAGCTACCGATAAAAAAATTCTCTTCTCTATTGATTTTCGCTCGCACTGAGACGTGGCTGGCTGGCAGCGCGGCTGCTGCTGCTGCATATCAAGTGAGACACGCGTGCAAGAAAAAAAAACAATAGCCGTCACAATGGCGCAGTCGTCGAGCCGACAGCGCCCCCTTCTATCGCTCGACACCGTCGATACGCAGCGTCAACATGGGCGACAGAACATCGATATGTGGTGACCGCCGTGACCGCGAGCGTCAATATGGTTACCATCGTTACCCACGGTCAACATGGCGGTCACTATTGCCGCGCGCGTCAATGTGGTAACCCTCGTTACCTCGCGTCAAGATGGCGGTCTCTGCTGCCGCGCGCGTCAATGTGGTCACCCTCGTTACCTCGCGTCAACATGGCTGTCACTGCTGCCGCGCGCATCAATATGGTCACCCTCGTTACCTCGCGTCAACATGGCGGTCTCTGCTGCCGCGCACGTCAATATGGTCACCCTCGTTACCTCGCGTCAACATGGCGGTCTCTGCTGCCGCGCACGTCAATATGGTCACCCTCGTTACCTCGCGTCAACATGGCGGTCTCTGCTGCCGCGCGCATCAATATGGTCACCCTCGTTACCTCGCGTCAACATGGCGGTCTCTGCTGCCGCGCACGTCAATATAGTCACCATCGTTACCTAGCTTCAACATGGCGGTCTCTGCTGCCGCGCGCATCAATATGGTCACCCTCGTTACCTCGCGTCAACATGGCGGTCTCTGCTGCCGCGCACGTCAATATAGTCACCATCGTTACCTAGCTTCAACATGGCGGTCTCTGCTGCCGCGCACGTCAATATGGTCACCCTCGTTACCTCGCGTCAACATGGCGGTCTCTGCTGCCGCGCACGTCAATATGGTC